TTATATTCATTTAAGTTTCTATACAAAATGAAAATGTTTTGGAGTCAATATATTTTCCTTTTTTTTTTGTTATTTTTGGATATAAAACATATTTGTCAAACATTAATGAACGTAGAACAAGTATTGCATTGCTTTATATTTTTTGAAACGACTCATAATAATTTTAAAGAGTAAAACATTGTTTTAGTTCAATATTTTTACTTCTATTTAAATCATGTCATAAGGCATTTTTAGCACAATTTTCGCATTTTAAGGGCATTTTTTGCAGTTCATAAGGGCATTTTTTGCACTTTTTAAGGGCATTAATTGAGATTTTTTAGGTCATCAAAATCCGGGCTCTAATGATAAGAAATTTTATATTTTAATAAAAATATGACTGCGAGTGAGGATTTTGTTACAAATTCAGATATTCGGAGCACCATGAAATTGGGTGAGGGGGAGGAGATTCCATTTCAAAAATTAGAGTTTTCGACTGCCTAAATTCATGACTTTCCATGATTTCTTTTGTTTTATTTAGTCAAAATGGTGGCATTTCATGACAAATTTTGTTCAATATCAAAATTCATTACGTTCCATGATTTCTCATGACTTACGCAGGGGACGCAGATACCCTGCATATAATATTTCCGCCTTATGTTCAGATATGTAGGGTAGACACAGCTTTTATTTATTTTTTTCTCAGACCCTTGTTTATTTAATAAGTCCGACAAAATGAATTTATGGGTCATTGCCAACAAACTTTGTCCGTCACAACGCCCCTTCATTTATTATTCTCTTTAACTGATAAAACAGAGTGCTTACTTTGAATAGTAAAAGTCATGTGACGTAAACGTATCTCGGCGCCCAATCTTAACCTCTGTAAATTAAGAGATAACATTTCGTCGCCAGTGGATGCTGTCAAAAAAGTAACGCGGAGTTTTATCTTCATTCATTCATAACTTATTTCTTTCATTTGTTTCTGTGTAATTATTTTAATTTCATCCTGGCGTCCATAATTATTTTAGTATGTTGTTCTGTGGTTCTTTTACCTTTGGCAATATTGTTTGGCTTGATTTATTTTCTGTCGACGGAACTGCCGAGCTTCAAGGTTTTACGTAATACATTTGTAAGGGACATAAGGTAAGTAAATGTAAATTTCATTCATTATTCTATAAGTTTTGAATTTGAAAGAATTAACATATTTGTAACAACCACAACCCTTTAATAATTCCGGAAATATATAGTTTGACATATACTAAGTCGTAGCCAAAGCTGTATACAGGTTTTACGAGCCCCCAGTCAAAATCAGTCTTTCTTAAAACACAGATGTGAAATTTTCTAAAATATCTGGAAAAGCTTCTTTTATCGTCTGTTCATAGAAACGTGCATTTTTATATATGTTAAACACGCAACTTTCCTATTGCTTTATTAGTTGTTATCATGAAGGACAGGGGTTTGATCTCCTGTGGCAGCTTGAAGCCTTTTGATCGATAGTATGCCAGCTTGTCTGGAAGCAGAGTTGACCACATTGCCACAATCATGCCGTTGGTCATGAAATCGTTGACCCTTAACCCGGCACGATCCCATAAGGCGCACAACGAGCTGTTGCGGAATGCTTTACTGTTATTGCATCATTAGGGCTTATTTTTTGTTTATAACTAAATGTTAATTGGCTTAAATTATTATTTTAATTGTGCAACAAATTTTATTTAACAAAAATTTAAAATTTTATTTAACAAAAATTTTAAAATATTTCAAATATACTTCTTAAAAAAATTATCTGATAAATTCATTTTTTGTATTTAACATTGCATTGACCATTACAGTTAAAATGTTTTAACAGTTTTCCGAACAATTTTCTCTGTCTCCACTCAACACCTCCTAGAATAAGGAAAGCCTCAGCACGGATCAATTTAGTAGTCCGAAGTGACGAAGTTAACTGCGCAGTTGATGAAAAATAAGAAAGATGTCATTACGTTCGGGGTACTAAGCTGCGCAGTGGTTAAAAATGCGAAATATGTCATTACGTTTGGACTACTAAAGGATATTTATGGTAACCCGTGCAGAGGCCTACTCTTTTCTAGGAGGTGTTGCTCCCCACTCCCCTGGCTCTGGTTCTGTAGCTGATGCATTGAGCATAACTTTTAAGGAAAACTCCATAGAATTTGTTAAACTCGTTGCCATCTGCATTTCAGCATAGAAAAAAGGGGTTCCGAACGTGCTGGCATTCTTGCGATATTTCAAATTTTCTCATAGCACCCCAATTATTTAATATTTTTATGCATTGCAATATTAATTATAAATAATGAGTGTTTCATGTCTGCAAATAAGTGAAACAAAAACTGCAAAAGTTATAGGTGAGAATATAAATAAACCGTCAATCTTTGGTCTTTGCGGTGTCTAACTTAGTAGAAGTTGATATTTTTTGTACTGAACAAACAAAACAAGACAGACGGGTATTTTTTCGCTTTAAAAATTAGTTACTGAGAACACTTGTTTAAAAACTGGTTTTAAAGATTTGAGGGTATGTTAATAATTTTTGGCAATTTAAAAATGTTGACACTGGCATCACTGACGTTATTATAAACCATTGTTCACCAGTTGGGTAAACCATTGTAAACAACCTTATAACCATTGCAGTTTTTGTTGTTGTTACTCATGCCTTTTGCCAATATCAGCAAGCCTGCTTGAAACCAAGCTAGTCTTTAAGACAGAAGCTGCGCTTCTTGTTTTTTAGTGGCGCCATCTATGAGCCAGAATATTGCTTTAGCACACACATATCACAGTATTACAGGGAAGGCCCATTCAGGTCAAAATTACATCCACAGATTGTAATTTTGACCTGAACCAGAGAACGATCAATCACCGATAAATTTCAATCTCCGCTAGTGTTTCCAGAGGCATTGATTTGTTATGAGAACTTAAAGGACTTTGTGACCCCGACAGATTTATCATGCACCAGTCACCTTTTAATACATGGGGATTCTTCTCCCTGCTGGATTCGAACTCACGAATAGTTAATTTGAAGTTCTGTTATTCGAACGAAAAAGAACATGTTTAGCAAGATTTTTTGTTGGCTATGATTTAAGAACAAATTTAATTCTCTCATTATTAATAAAACATTTGATCCGATTATAGACATTTAAAAAAAAAATTATCTGACCTCTACTGAGAAAATAAAAGTACAACACAAGTAGAATAAGAAATGCGCAGAAAAAAGAATGCTGAGGTTTGATAATTTTTAGTTGTCCAGTGTAACATTAAATACTTTTAGTTTTCGAGTTGATAAAACTATCGCTCTATTTTCTCAAGAAACTGAATTAGCTTTTTTGTTCGCTCTTATACAGATTTGAAATTCCAATTATAGAAACTTTTAAATTCATATAAATACGTCATAAATATATTTTATTTTATTTCATAACTTTCGTTGAACAGACGACCCAATTTTTTGGACTTACGACAACTAATGTACAACTCCGTAGCCTTGCAATTTTGAACCCAATCTAGAAGACAAGGGAACTCTTCTATCAAGTATTGGGAGAAATTTTAGCCTTCGTGGAAGACTTTTTGCTGGAACTAACCCGCATTCGCTTTACATGGAGAGGAAAACCACGAAAATATCCCACGGTTAGCCTGGTGGCAAAGGGACTCTAACCCATGATTCGTCAACCACTTAGGATATTATCAGTCACTATCACGTCAGCGCTGTGGTCTGTGCAAGCCGGATGCAAAATTCGTATAGACTAGCTATCGCTGGGATTCGATCCTGGTTCACCTCATTGGATGGCAAACGCTCTATCCCCTGAGCTCTTCACGGCTCGTCATAAAAATATAATCAACATAATAAATAAATGCACTTTTTGTCTGTTCTAGCATTCTCACCTAAGTAATTTGTCATCATCATAGTAATGACCACTGCGTAAAATATATTTATAAACATTAAAAAATGATTAAATTTTCATTAAATTTTCACAATTTTATAATCGTGTTACCGCTATGAAAGCTGTCAGAAATTTTCAAACGAAAATATAATTTTAAGATGATAAGAAAAAGGTGGTCGAAACCTTTATGAGACGTTCGCCAATTCAATCTAGGATTTTTTTTTTTTTTCAGATGCGTTTTGGATAGGATTAGAAGTTAAAATTATTTATAGTGATTATTACAGGAAAAATGAATTATTTTCATGATTACTATTTATCTTCTGAAACAATACTTGATAATATTCAAACTGTCTCAAAATTATCATTCCAATAACACATAATATTGATCCGCTGAATCATGATGCCACCCAAATTTTCTTTATTATAAATAAAATACTTTTATTAATATTTTAGAAGCTTAAATTATATTATAATATCTAACAGTATTTATTTCTCATACAATTACAACTTATAATAAATTACAACTTATAATAACTAAATTGTGACCAGAAAATTATAGCCGCATTTTAAATGTTTTATTTAATAATTAGGAGGCATCACCCCCCTGCTCACGCCGATCGCCAAATCCCATAGATTCATTCTAGATCTTTATCTATTAAATTTTAATGTTGACACTTTTCTTTTTTGGCATTATTTTCAATCTCTCAAAAAATAATAAGAGGTAAGAAATATATAATGAAAGAATTGAAATCTTTGTGAAAGAAACTTCGTGAAAGAGTTTAAAATGTGTTACCGAAGAGATCTGATACTTGAAGGGCTTGGCTTATTCGAAACAGAACGAAAAGAACAGTTCCTAACGTAAACAAAAGCCACTCCCCAACAACTAATTAGGAGCGAGACCATTGTATTCAATTTCTTTAAGTTAAGTGAGTATTCCAAAGAAGCTATAAGCAAATGTTACTTTATTTTATATTTTATTTTATAACTTGTGTTGAACAGATCCAATTCTGAATTTGCAGCTATCAATGCTCAACTCCCTACCTTTGTAATTTCTATCCCAAACCAGAAGACAAGAGATTTCCTGGATCAGGAAAATAGTCTTTGTGGACGACTTTTTGATGGAACTAACCCGCATTTGCGTTACATGGTGAGGAAAACCTCCCACAATTAGCCAGACAGCAAGGGGACGCTAACCCATGATCCGTCTATCATGCGAGCCAGGTGCAGAATCCATATCGACTGGTCATTGCTGGGATTTGAACTTGGGTTGAACCTTACTAGGAGGCCAGTGTTTGGCCACCATCTCTCTAAGAGTTACTTTAGTCCAGAATTTTAAAATATAGTGAAAAAAATATATAAAAACGTGGAATTTTCTCTATATATTAAACAAATCATTGGGCAGCCAACGCCAGTTTGGGTGTTCAATTTAAAGTTGTATTTTGTCTTGCTGCGCAAAAACTATAAGACTTGGAAACTTAAGATTACTAAAATGAGTAGAAAAATGTGCATGGAGAAAGATAGAAAAAAAATTAATATTTGCTGATTAGTTCGAGAATTATTAACTATTAAACGTGATGTAAAAAATACTCTGCCGGACACAGGAATACAACCATAGAGTCAAAATTTGCTATGATGAAAGGGCTATATTTATTCATAAACTTAACACAGTTCTTTTCTTCGAAATTCCAATTTGTTCAAGAATTATTGCAATTTAAATGCTTTTTTCACGAATTCTTTTTCACTTTTCTTAGCTCTTTTTAACTAAAATAGATTTACAAATTTGAAATTATGAAAGGATATAGAAGAGTATACGACGGAATTGAAAAAAAAAATTAACAGTCAACAATTAGTTCGTGATTTATTAACTGCTAAACTTGTAAGGAAAAAGTGCCATGTTTATTCCATCTGTAGCCACCTGAAATGCAACTACGTGGTAAAAGTTTGACAAGTTGTAAGAGCTATTTTTATTTGTGAATTCAACGCAAATTATGTTTCAAAGTTCCGATTTTTTTTCTCGAAAGATGTTGTAAATTTAAATGCTTTTACGTGTTTTTATTTTAAATATTGACTATTTATCCACTGCTGTCAAAAATTTGTGTTTCCCTCTCGAGATCTTTATTTACTCGCGCGTGAGTAAATGTCAATCAAAAATTGGAAAAGAGGGAGAGAGAGAGGGGGGGGAGAGAGAGCAATAACAAGATTATATGTTGCCAGATATACAGTGATTACTTTTCGAATTCAGGTAATCGTCTATTTCGT